ACACAAACATACATGTAGGGAAAAAAATCCATCTACCAAATGTATAATTTAAAGATGTAAAAATAAAAACTTTTAAGCTGGGTATTGATGGCACATGCCTTTAATCCCAGCACTTGGGAGGCAGAGGCAGGTGGATCTCTGTGAGTTCAAGGCCCAGCCTGGTCTACAGAGCAAGTGCCAGGACAGGTTTCAAAACAATACAGAGAATCCCTGCCTCAAAAAACAAAAAACAAAAATAAATAGATGAATAACTTTAGTCATTAAGCTAAAAAGGCAATAGAAATACCACTATTGTGTTAAGTAGTAACTATTATAGCACCATTTGTACTTCCTAAGATTGGTCATTTGTGGGGAGACCCCACAAGTCATTAGAAGTTAGGCTCTAAATGTTTGCAGTCAAATATTTTACCACTAAGCTATACTCCCTAATATTTGTATAAGACTGAACAAGTTAGTAGGTCAGTCAGACTCAAGCAGTCCAGGTCTGATCATGTGGGAATTTATGAGTTTTGGGGGGCCTTTGTTTCTGTACAGCCTCCCACAAGTCTCTTCTCACATTCAATCTGGTCATATTTGGCTGTAAAAAGAAACAACTGTACATATTTGATCTGAATATATCAGCAATATGATTTGTTTCCTTACTTCATTCAAATATCCATTCAAATGACACCAGAGTGATTCTCTATACAGAATAGCATACCCCAGAACCCAACCTTGTCCATCTTTACTTCCTGTTATTTTGCTTTTCCTTCAAAATTTTATCACACCCTGATGTAAGACATCTATGACAGCAATACATTCCAATATTAATTCCAGAACATGTGCTTTGAGGAATGAGAATTTGTCTGCATTCACCATGGTGTAATTTTTATGTACTAGGAAATGTACCATTTCCTCTCCTGTAATAGTGTTAGAACATTGAAACGCCTGTCTCTGTTTCTCAAAGTGAAAGAACTACAGTATCTCATTGTAAGCATGTAGGATCTGAATCTATGTGTGGATGAAGTAATGGGTTTCCTTCAGGCAGGAGAATCTCAAAGAAAATAAAAATTTGGAAAGATGGATTCACTTCCCAGTAGAATGAACCTCCCCTTCTGACTCAATCAATTAGGTGTGCTAAATTTTACTATGGAAAATTTGAAATGGTTCTAGCCCAAAATCTAGTTCTAGTACAAAAGTTATAGTGTACAGACATAATTGAACACAGTATTTGACATTGACCTATTTGTTTTATATTCTTCTGAATAAGTCAATATTGGATTCTCCCTGCTAAACCAGAGTTATAACTAGACTCAAACCCAGCTATGAATCAAAGGTCTTGGTGTATGCTCAAGTCACTACATCATAAGTCCAAGGGTTCAACAGCATATCTATCCTCAAGTTCTGTGGGCAAGGAACAGCCTTTTCATTTAGTCTATGGTCTAATGTCATAAAACAATTCATGGTTCACGACTTAGAGCCTAGGTAGATAGATTTGTTATTGTCTAAGACAGGAAGATTTTTATTTTGCCCCTACCATTTCCCCAAACTTAAAGAGACAGTCAGAATTAGGGTTGCCCTCTTTCTAGCTATTATGATATAAAACACCCCAAGATCTTAAAAGAAATGCATCTATGTCTGGCCTAGAAATCTGAAAAGAGTGGCATATATATGACTCCTTAGAGACATAAATTAAGTTCTGTTAGAAAATGAGATTTTTAGTTTCTTTAGTCAATGCCTAGGACTGTGGTCAGGCTAATCCTAGTGTTAGGAATGGTAAATATAAACAGCAATTAGCATTTAAAAGGTTCCCTATAACAAAACCAGAATAAATAACAATTGGACTAAAGTTAACTATTCATGTTGACATCATTAGAATACACAAAAGCCACTATTATTGGTTATAATTTTATTTTATATAATTTATTTTTAGTAAATATATAAAACATGAGCACCAAATACATGACAGTGTCTGCCTTTGCAGAAGAGGTGATGTGGTAGTTGAAAATAAATTTATTAGCCATTAACACTGATTAATTGCCATATAAATCTGCATTTAAAGCAAACATGACAAAGTATTGATATTTGCTAATTTGAAGTGGAGGTAAACAAATATTTTTCACATATTTCATAATTTCTTATATTTTTTCTTATTTTTCTAGTAAACAAAAAGACTACAATGATAATAACATAATCATTATAGCTGATGATTTTACTACATTTTCTGAATTGGGCAAATCTAGTTCACATTAAACACACAAGAACATAAAGCACCTGAAAAATACAACCAGCAAATTTTATAATATAAACAGCTTTCAACTTTGTATGTAATTGACAGAGAATATATATTTTGTAAATGACAGAAAAATATATATTCTGTATCAACAGAAAGTCTGAAAAATCCATTTGGCACTGGGAAAATATTAGGAAACTCATTAAACTAATCCATAATCAAATGTGTTCCCAGGATTAGAATGTTTTATAGCTTAGTCCTAGCTAACTTTTGAAGAACATTTCTAATGCCATTTAAACTATTTCTCCAAGTCATTTTTAAGCTAGTAGAACTTCAACAACAAAGTTTTATAGAGACAGCAGATGAAAGAAAAAAATGACTCAACCTGTTGTCTGTTAGTTTGATTAAAAATATAAAGAATAATCTAAAAAGCTGACGGATGGTGGTGCAGGCCTTCAACCCCAGCACTGAGGATCTCGAGGCCAACTTGGTCTACAGAGTAAGTTCCAGGACAGCTAGGTCTAAATAGAGAAACCCTGGTTTAAAAGACCAAAAGCTAAAAACCAAAAACCAAAAAAACAAAAAACAAAAAAACAAAAAACCAAAACCCAACAACAACTAAAAGAAAGAATAATCTAAAAAAAAAAATGTAATTTCACTTTGAAATGCAAATCCATTTCTAAATGCAGTATTGGTAAATAAAATGCAGCAATATAATAAATGATCATTTTACCATGACCAAGTAAAGTTTATTTCAGAAACTTAAGTTTTGTTTAATACTAAATCTCTAACTTTCTAAAAAAAAAATCATACATCAACAAATTAAATGAAAAAGAAAACACCCATAATTTTAATAATGGGTATTGAAAAGACATTGCTAAAATAAAGAAGACATTTCTAATACTAATGCTATGTAAAAACAGAAACAGGAGAAATTTCTCAACATAAGAGTAACAACTTACCAACAATCGACAGCAAAGTCAAACACGAAACTGTAAAGTTATTTTCATAAAAATTAAAAATAGCACAGGCATGTCTGCCATCATCATTCCATGTCACTGCCGTGAAGAATCCAGCTAGTGCACTACTAATAAGTATAAGCATTAGAAGAAATAAAATAATCTCTATTTACATATGAAATGATTGTATATATCAAGAAAATCCAAAAGTTTCTGATTTAGAATCCAATGTAACCTCTAGAATTAAATAAACTCATTGGATAAAAGATAAAAATATAAAATCTGTAGACTTCCTTTATTGATAAAAATAAAAAGTTACATATAAGGAAGAAAAATACTCAACTTATTTCAAAATTTGACAACTGCAAAAATATATTCTATTAGATATGAATGACCTACATGAAGAATGTAATAAAAAGAATAAAAATATTTCAATGATGTACCAAAACTTTGGCATGTTAAGGATTAATATAACTATTAATATTATTCTTGTATATAAGAATAAAGTTGATGCAGTTCTAATAGACATCAGACCTTTTCAAAATATCAATAAAATATATTGGGTTTTCTTGTGAACTTATGACTGTAGAGGACAAATTATAATAATAAAGAAAAAAATAAAAACTCCTGAAAGGGAAATTGTTATTCCAGTTTTTGAAACTTATGGTCAGCCAGTATATTTAAAACTCATTTTAACTCAGAAATTTGAAAAAGAATGATCTGTTTTGAAATGTAATTTCTACAGTTGAATATGTGAAACATTTGTAGTTAAACCCTATATATTTCCGTATGAAAAAATGAATTTCAGATAGATAAAAATTTAAATAAAATAAAGATTATGAGAAAAACAAAGTGAATATTGGTATGACTTAGGTTGGAGATATCTGTCTGAAAAAGATAGAAATCCAAAAATTTATAGAAGACATAGACATTTTAAAGTTATAAAATTACTTAAAGTTTTTAAAATTGTAAAGTGAACAATTTTAACAATAAATTCAAAATTAATAATATAATGCAAAATTCATTAACACATGAAATACAAATGATTAAATGCACTTTCATTGTACACATTCCAACAACTTTATATGGAAAATATCAATTGAATAGATAAAAGAACAAAGCATAGGAATTAGAAAATCACAAAAGGGAAATATCCCAAGTAGAAAAATAAATCTCATTGAATCAAATAAACACCAAACAAGATAATCAGGAAAACCATGTAACTTTTTACTACTCTGCTTTTCAAACATTAAAGACCAATGAATGCCAACCTTGCAATATTTCTTAAAACTGTGTGTGTGTGTGTGTTTGTGTCTGTGTGTGTACATATATATGCCTACATAACACTTCTATAGAAATAACAGCACCTTAATACAATAAAACAGCAATCAGAATTAAAAAAAAAACACAAATAACAGAATGGATACTTTTTGGCACATCTGTACATACTGTGTGCAAGGTTGAGAGAAGAAGCTTGAGAGTGAAAGTCAGAGATTGACTGTGCTGTTGATCAAAAAGAGTACCATCAGCTAGTCAATTTTTAAGAAGCTACATCGAACTTTCCCTTCGAGAGCAGGGAAAACATCCTAAGATAAATGCCAAGTTCTCAAACTAATTATCTGGAAGAATAAAAAGTGTGAGCAGAAGACATGTTGCACAGCTTATCTACTTTTGAATTGTCTCTGTGGATCTAAACACTTTTAGCTTTTCTCTTAGCAACCAATTTAAAATTTCAATCACAAAACAAACAACAAAAGTACTAACGTACACGTGGGTCAAAAGTGAGAGATAGTTGATATACGATTTGGAGGCACAATAAGACCTACACACTGTCCTGAACTTTTGACCTCAAAATTGTTCTAAAAAACATACTTTTGAGAACATAAAATTTTACCTCTATTAGTTCCATAAGTTTTTCAAACAGCGCTGTAAACTTATGGGGTTTTCACCAAACCATAGACATAAATGTGAATGTCATCATCAAACTTTATGAAGTAGACAGATGGCTTGGCCACCACCTGATGGATAAAAATGCCAGTTCTTTTGGATCCATCATCTTTGGCGTGTTCTACCTGCTTGCCCACAAGACTGTCGAGCACCTCGCCAGGCTCCTGCTCTGCTGTAGGGAAATAGTAGTTGGAATCTGGAATGATACGCAGGTCACCATCTTTGTAGTCATCCAGCAAGGTGTACATATAGAGGACTGGATCCTTCTCGTAGGTGATGTAAAACCACGTATCCATTATGGGGGCTCGCGCCAGCACCATACCCTTCCACTCATCTTTCTGACCATGCTCGCCTTCGAACACATGTCCCACTGCTTTCCCAACCAGGGAATCCGCCAGGCGAGAATCAATGCGAGGAGAAGGAACTCTCTCAGGAAGTACTTCTAGTGCTAGAACTCTCTTGTCTCTGTGCAGTTCTAGTCCGTACACACTGTCTTTGCCGTCGTATTTAATTATATACAGAGTGGGCTTCACGGAAACCTGCTCGAGCACAGTCCCCTTCCACTGCTCTACTGGCTCATTGCCTTCTTTCCAGCCGTGCTGAATGCGGCAGCCCACGATGTTCCTATGAGTGAGAAAAGTGGGCTTACGCCGCTGCTTCTTGTGAGTGTGCCTCTTCTTCATCAGGTACGCGGACACACCATCTACCCCTGTAGGAGGCACAGTCGGAGGAGACATGGCTCCAGGCTTAGGTGGCCTAAGCAAAGCTGACCTTTGCTTAACAAGCTGACAAATAGGCGACACTGCCCAATGGGAGATAGTTTTTTCGATCTGAGAGACTATGGTCCTTTCTCCCTTCTTCAGATTTTGTCAGAAACGAGCTGACCGACTGGGTACTGAGACAGAGAGTGCCACTCACTAGTGCTTTCTCCTCCTTCAGGGAGGGGTGATTGCAGCTGTGATGGCTAGAGAGAGATGGCGGGCTCCCGGGTTCTGTCCGCCCCTGGCGCCTTCCCTGACTCCCCAGCCCAAGTCCCAGCCAGAATCGGTCACTTAGCTGTTGTTGTCAATGCTGCTGTGGCTGCAGAAGGGCAGCAGAGAAGAAGACGACAGTTAACGTGGACAAGAGATGACAGGGATGGTTGCAGCAACGAAAGTGCAGGCAGTGGCACGTCTCCCAGCAGTTTGCGCGGCCTGGTCTTGGCAGCGCTTGTCAGCTTGGCCAATCTACGGAACTGGGATTTTTGTGGGAATCCTCCTCCTCTGAGCCCGCCCTCTCCTTTCCTCCACCCCTCCCGCTTCCGTCCTGCCTTCCGCTCCTGGGGCAGCCACACTGACACAAGCACTCTCCTTCACTCTTGCCCCCCCTCCCCCCAGTTCACTCCCACCAGAGCCAGACAGTACAGCTCCCCCCTCCCCTGCCGGCTGTCTGCTGCCCAACTGCATACTTCACTGAGGCTCCATCTGCTTTCTATCTTCCAGGAATTCCTCACGAGCAGAAAAAGAAAAAAAAGAAAGAAAGAAAAAAAAAAAAAATACGTGTATGTGTGTGTGTGTGTGGGGGGGATAAATTATATATACAAATCTACAGTTTCATTCATTTTTAAGGGATTTGAAATGGGAGTCGGAAAAGGCCTTGCACAGTCCACCATGTTGACTTAAACTCTCCGTTATATTTTTCTGATCATTTGTTGTAATATTTTTTTAAATGTTTTTTTTTTCTAAATGTAAAAGAAATATTCTGGAACTTGATTTTCTAAAACTCAGTGAAATAAAAAAAAATACTAACTTTAATTGCACAAGGTAGGCAAACACCAAACATTTATTAAGCTGATTCTCTTTTATTAATATATATGTCCTATGATCCTACACGATTGAGAGTATATCCTATACTTCTGTAGCTTACTTTACCACTTATATTATGGGTATTTTTGAAGTTATTAAGTACTCTGGAAATGAGATTTTTGTTGTCGTTGTTTTGTTTTGATTTTTGCTTTTTGAGACAAGGTTTCTCTGTATGGCCCTGGCTGTCCTGGAACTCACTCTACATACCAGCCTGACCTCAAACTCAGAGAACCTCTTGTCTCTGTCTCCCCAGTTCTGGGATTCAGGTGTGTGCCATCATGCCTGGCTGGTAACATAATTTTTAATGGTTCCATATGTGAACATAAGAAATACAGCTTTCATCTCAAAATAAATAAAAGGTAGTTTATTGTAGAATCAAATATGTGTGACCAAGACTACAAATTTAGGTTACCCAAATTCTATGTTCCAATGTGGTAACAGTTTCATGAAGATTTTTGTTATTGTTTTCTATTCATTATTATTCTCTCTGTGGTGTGTGTGTGTGTGTGTGTGTGTGTGTGTGTGTGTGTGTGTGTGTGTGTGTTGGGAGCGGCTGAGGTAGAGCCCATGCCATGTGCACAAGTGGAAATCAGAAGATACCATTGTGTAGTGACTTCTCGTTTTCCACTTTTGCTTGAATTCTGTGGATTCAACCTAGGTCCACAGGCTTATGCCAGAAGTGCCTTTGTAAGCTAAGCCTTTTACTCCACTGACCTCATGAAATTTTTATGGCAACAAAACAAAGAGAGCTATAAATCAAGAAACTTTAAAAATACCTTGGTTGGAGCCTTGGACAAGCGTGTTACAATAAACCGGAGAAACCTCTGCAGATACTATCTGATGGCATTCCCAGCCTTTGGGTCAGCGAAAGATGAGGATCTGTGCACACATTCCAAGAGAACTTACCTAACAGCCGAAAGAATGGCAGGTCACAAACAGAGATGAACAATGAATGGCCACATTGGCCGGAGGGTTAAGATAGTTCAAGATAATGTGTCTCTGGAACTGCAACAGCTGAACCCTCCACAATACCCATCTTAGTTAATCATCCATGTACAATGTTTAATGATTGTGTGGCTTTTTTTTTCTGGGAACTTCAGTTAACACAGTTCCTTTTTAATATTCCTCCAGTGACTCACCATTTATTCTAAATGGTCTAAAGCAAAAGAGTAAAGATTACAACTCTCCCTTTTCATATATGGACTGACTGAATGAGTTTTCTTTACTTTTTTTTCTTTGAAATTAAGAGTTGGAGTGGGGGTTCCATTAATTTTTTTCATACACTTATTTTGATGATGATTTCGCCGGCTCCAGTCCTTCTCAGATCCTATCCAACTCCCTACCTAACATTATGCTCTCTCAATCAAAATAAGTAAATAAACAGAAATCAGTACAAACAAACAGGCAGTGTATTTTATGTTGTCAAGCATGGAAATATGGTTTATATACTCACTGACACTTCGTTGGAGAAAACTTTCCCAGCAGTTATCAATTGCAAATAGCTTTTTGTTTAGGAGTGGATTTAGTGTTCACCTCCCCTTCTAATTTTGTCAGTTCTGAGACAGAGTATGTCTTGTGTGTGCTGTCATAGTTGTGAGTTCATATGTGTATCAGTATTGTGTCTGGAAAACACAATTTCCTTGAAGTCATCCACTACCTCTGACCTTTATTAACTTTCCACCCCCCTTCCACATAGGTCCCTGACCCTTGAGGGTAGGGATTGATAAAGACATCTCATTTAGGACTTAGTGCTCTCTTTCTGCACATTGTTTAATTGTGAGTCTCTGTGCTGATTAACATCTATTGCAAGAAAAAGCTTCTCTGATGACAGTTAAGCAATATACTTATCTATGGGTGCATTTCTGTGCTCCTCCAGCACAGTAATAATACTGGGTTTTCCCCTAGGGCCCATGACCTATCTAGTCTCAGGTTCTTCGACACTAGCAGTTTCAGGCACGGGTTCTGTCTCTTGGAATGGGCCTGAAATCCAATCGAACGGTGGTTGGTTACTTCATAACATTTGGACTGCTACTATGACAGAATGATTTATAAGAAAGTCACCATTGCTGGTCTCAGAGTTTGTAGCTAGGTGGTATTGCTGACTACTTTTCTTCTCCAGTAGCATGTAAAGTATCTTCCAGTACCATGAATGCTAGTCAGTAAGGGTGAAGCGTTTAGTTGGGCACTAGCTTTTTCCATGTTCAATGGCATAACTGAATGCTTTTCTCAGCAATAGCCTTAGCATTAACCTGTGATGCTTTGGGAGTTCTGTGGGACCACTTTGGCCCACGAACTCAACAAGATGTAACTCATTCATCATCCTGGATGTATTAGTTGGTGGCATAATATGTCAATTTGGGTCATTTTCTCCACAATATTATGGTGAGTCCATTTAAATTCCTTTCATATATGTATGTATTTTAGGAAGCTTCTATAGTACTAAGTTTTCCAAAGCCCTTCACTGTTAGTTGTTCCTCCTCATAAAACCTCCTTCATCCTGCCCCCCATCCTCTTGTCCATTTAATTCTCCTATTGTAGTTTCATCTTTATCTCTTTATAACACTGTATTCTATTCTACCTTACTTGGAAGGTCCCTTTTTTCTGCTTCATTCCTTACTTGCAACCTGAGCTTCATGGTTATTTTAAATGAAACACATACCTAAAGCTTAATGGCTAGCCTCCACAGATAAGAGAAAAAAAGCAATATTTGTCTCGTGGGGTCTGGGTTATTACACTCAAGATGACTCTAGCTCTATCATTTTACCTGCATATTTCAAATTTTATTTTTATTTTTTTATTTTTTCTGAACAGCTGAATATAATATTACATCATATGATGTAACACATTTTTATTATTCATTCATCAGGTGATCACGACAAAGGTTGTCTACCTGAGTTCCAGCCTACTGTGGCTACTGTAGGTTCCCTTAGAGACATGTTCAGTGGGTAGGTGCAAATAAATGAGCTCTGCCCCACTCTTCTTTTCAGTCCCATTGCTTCTAGGATGTTATGAGGGAGGAGAGAGCTGTTGCATAATTACCATTAGCACTACCTCATCCCAGCTAGATGAATTTTGAGGAAGAGCTTACCACCAAAGTGTGCATGCCACAATTACACCCTTAGGGTTATTGTGCTATGCTGAGCAGTGCTGTGGTCCATAGGTTTTATAGCTGGGTAGGACTATTGGTTGCTTTTCTCCTTGCATGGTATCTTCTGGTATTGTGAAAGCTAGTTCCAAGGGAGGAGGCTTTCAGGTCAGACCCACCTGTTACTCTAGCAGACAACCAAGAACATCAACAATAGCCTATAATGTTTGGGAAGTTTCTTGAACAGTACTGATTAGGAACTCAGAAGGAGGGGGTGGGTGTTCAGGACTACTGTTGGGGATTTTGTTAGATAGCTTATTGCTCTTGAGGGGAACTTATTAGCCAAGTTGGATGTATCCATCCACATTGTTGAAATTGTTCACATTTTATATCTGTTTTCTGGTAGAATTTTTGATATTTCTAATGTTTAATATCATGCCATCTACAAACAGAGACAGTTTGACTGCTTTTCCTGTCTGTACTCCATTAATTTCCCTTTCTTGCTTTATTGCTCCAGCTAGTACTTTGCGTTCAGTATAGAAAAGGAGCAGGGCTAGTAGATAGCTTCAAATTATTTCTGATTTCAGTGGGATTACTTCAAGTTTTTCTCCATTTAGGATGATGCTGGCTGTGAAACTGTAATAGGTTGCCGTTATTATGTTGAGGTAAGTTTCTCCCAGTCCTACTCTTTCTATGACTTTTATAATGAAGAAATATTTGATTTTGTCAAGTATTTTTTCTTCTGCATCTATTGAGATTATAGTGATTTTTTTGTATTACAATCCATTTATGTGATTTATTACATATATTGGCTTATGTATGTTTAACAATGACCACATCTCAGGAATAAAGCTAACTGGGTCACAGTGGCTAATCTTTGTTATATATGTGAATGTTTCATTGAGCATTTTTAAACTATGCTCATTAGGGGTACTAGCATTTAGTTTCATTTTTTTGTGTGTTGTTACATGGATTTGATATTTAAGTGATAATGACTTCATAAAAGGAGTTTGTGAGTTCTTCTATCTCTTTTTCTTCTCTCATTCCCTTCCTCTCTCACTCTCTCTCTCCCTTCCTGTTTAAAAGGGATTATCTGCAGATCTTCGTAAGAATTCTGCTGTGAATCCATCTGAATCAAATTTTTTAGTTGGAGAGTTTTATTTTTGTTTCAATGTCTACATTTGTTATGGGTCTTATTGGGTTGTTGATCTTTTCATGATTTAATTTTGATGTTGGTTGGATCTAGAAATTTGTTCATTTAGAGTTTTCAACTTAATGGACTACGTTTTTAAAGCATTTCATTATAATACTC